TAAAGCATAGGATTGAATTCAGTGAGCAATCACTAACACATTTCCCGCCACTTTACGCCCCCACTTTTAGGCCAAGTGGACAGAATCGGACCCACCAATTGTTCAATTTTTAACATTTGATTGCATTTTTTTCATTCGAGGGACACCGGGGGACTGTTATGTCTTTTCATGCAGTTTACGTTTAGCAAAAGGCACCTATTCGCTATAATTTACTACTGCGCATTGCTGCCCAAAAAGTTCTTGCACGTTTTCATCTAAATTCGTGCTACTTAAATGCCTTCCTCATCCACCAGTAAAGGAAATTAACATAGCTTCAAATTTTGTTCGGAAGAAGTGTAAAAAACGCTTGTATTTTCAAATTTGATCAATAAAACTACCTCATATCTCCTGACTTCTTAAAATGTTCAAAGAAAAATGAAGCTTAAAAATCCCATTTTCTGAATGGCTGACTTTGAGAGACTGCGCTACATAGCTGACGACGTAAATCAAAAAGGCAATGCCTATTTTGGGATAAGGAACTACATAGCTTTCATATTTATCGATAAAAATCCGATACAATAAAAGTCTCCAGATACTATTTTGAAACGTCATCCGCTACTGTGCTATGGTTTGACTAACCCAGCTGGAGGTTAACCAATCGCGTCAACTGTTTAAGTTTGCTATGAGCTCATTGGCACGGTTGCAAGCGTTTAACCATGGGCCCATTCAATCATACGCGCGAGCAGTTCTCTTACGCACGCGATGTACGTATATCCTTAGTATGTCCGCTCAAGGTCAACCGGCTAACCACCGCTTTATACCATAACTCGCTCGCGTGTTCACACTTCTGCGATTACTGTCCCGCACTTGGCTCACTTCATTCGCTTCTCACGGAAACAGCAAGTTGTTGAATACGTATCCAAGCTGTTTTTTACTTCTTAGATATAACTGCATCCATCCGTTTCTGCGTTTATCGAATTTACTTCCCAAATTACCTACTAGCGTTTTAGATTTCGTTGAATTTTTTTAAACTTGTATTTTGAGATCCCTCTAACCTGCCTACGTTTAGACTACACGTATTTTTGCACTCAAAAAGCTACATACCTTTATTACGTTTGGTTAAAATGCCGCCTAAGAAAACTTTTTGGACGGCGCACGGCTTCTGCCTCCGTTACAAGAGGAGCAAGGGAACCAAGTGAAACCACAGAACAAACTTCTTGCGCATTTCTCAGATGCCCTCACGCTCTGAACTTCATGGACTGAAAGACTGGCATCAGTAGCATCAGTTATGTCATCACGACGAGCTAGACTTTCAACTGAAGAGCGCGTATAGTACTGAATTCACAGGACGCAATACGTGTTTCTGGGGGAAGGGCTTCCGAGTCCCCAACACAGACAAAAGGGAATGCTAGCGTGTTCTAGAGCTTTAAGAAAGCCCTGAACAAACCACTTCGCGTCGTCTTAGGAATGTTGGGGCTACATCGTCTTCAAGGGTTTCGGAACAACCTCAACAAACCGCTTTTCGTCGTTTAGAAATGCCAGCGCTTCTGCGTCTGCCAGAGCTTTAGAAAAGTCCTGTGCAGACCGCTAATCGTCGTTGAGGAATTCTGAAAAATTTTGCGAGCACGGCTCAACAATAATGGCAAATCCCGCAAGGACAGACGCTCAGCGTTGAAGTGTTTCCCTATGAACAGTTTTTGCGTAGGCCGCTCCTGAGTCGGGAGCAAGATAACGTTACGTTACTCTCCAACAAACAAATCTAAAAATAATACCTATGCAGAAGTCTTATAGCCCATGGTCGGTCACGTTTAAATGCAATGTATACATCTTTATGTCAACTGCATCGTAGGTTACTTCATTTTTGAACCCGGTGTATTTAAAGGTCGTCGTAGTATCCACTTGCCATTACTAAGATGCTCCCTTATCACTTAAAACCCACCATAGCTGCATTCGCACTGACATGTAAACATATTCAGTTGCAACACAAAACCAATACATGGGAAGGTTGATTCGTTTAATTGTCTGAGAAGAAAGGTCTCAGCAAAAGGAGTGGGATAATAAAGATAGCAGGATTTATAATAACCATTCTCTGCCGTACAAATAAGGACTGCTTTAGGAAACGCTACGTACGCTTCATGCTCGCCTCAACTGGCTATTAAAAACTACAAAACAATTTGTGCCAACAAGTACTCGTCCCGGCACCTTCCCATACTTCTGTTAAAAGCAAAGACGCGTCTACCTTTCACACTATTGCGTTTGACTATGGACTGACAAAAGATATGTCTTGCACTCAGGGATAATAAAACCATCATCGGAAAACAAAGCTATCTGCTACAATTCACAAACACTTCCTAAGTATTGAACTTGACAACTTCTAATTGAAGGTGTCTTAGTAATAACAAGCGGCTGATGGCTATCCATTGCTTCCTTTTAAGCCTTACAATTTTTTCTTCCGTTGTGCTGATGAATACCGATAACTTGTGTACATTACGTTTTTATGGACACCCATCAGAGACTTCAGCCTTGCATGCCGTGTACATAATGAGCAGTTATGACCTTCCATTCAGGAATTTTATTCCCGGGCATCGCCGTGCTTTACTGCTAGTATGAAGATAAGAGGAGAAAGAAAAGAGCGAACTTTAAAAGGATATGGCAGATAGATACGACATTAGAGATGAAGGGGTTAAATGGTAGCGTTCTCAGAATCATCTCCGCGGCAGTATGCTCCACAGAGTAAGGATCCTTGAGGAGAACATTTCTCAGGAACACGTTACTTACGAAAGGGATACGTAGTGAATGGTTGTGTTTAAAATCAGTGAACCTTTAAAAGCCGAATTGTATAATGGAAAAGATTTGAAAAGCGTGGGCTACTGGATTTACAAATGGGAAGAAAGGTGTTGAAAAACATAAAACCTAACATAAAAAAAAGGAAAATAACAGGATTTAAGATTTTCAAAAAAGCAGAATGATAGTGAAGAATAAGGGTAAAAAGAAGAGGAGTCCAGAAAAGAAAAGGGGACCAGAAAAGAAGGTGGGGGTCCAGAAAAGAAGAGGGCAACAGGAAAAAAGAGGGGGCCAGAAAAGAAGAGGCGACCAGAAAAGAAGAGGGGACCGGAAAAGAAGAGGGCAATAGGAAAGAAGAGAGGGCCAGAAAAGAAGATAGCGGCCAGAAAAGATGATGGCGGCCAGAAAAGAAGAGGAGACCGGAAAAGAAGATGGCGGCCAGAAAAGAAGATGGCGGCCAGAAAAGAAGAGGAGACCGGAAAAGAAGATGGCGGCCAGAAAAAAAAAAGAAAAGAAGAGGGACCGAAAAGAAGGAACTAGTAAAGAAGGGGAAATGGACAAACGCAGAAAGAAAAAAGAGAAAAAAAAGATAAGTAAGAACGTTGGAAAAAATTAATATGAAAAAAAAAAAATGATGAACTGTACTATGTTAATGGATGCGAAAAACTGTTCTTATTAAAAAAAAATATCCCGCTAAGAAGAACAGAAGCATAAAAAACCAAAAAAAAAAATCCCAAAACAAACAAAAAGTACATGAAAAATCCATGCAGAATAATGGTCATTTATCCAGCCACTGATACGGGATATATTCCATTAATAATATTTTTGTTACTACTTATTTTTTTGTTTGCGCATTTTCTCTCTATTACACTTTCGTCAAATTCCAACCATTTTTCTTACTAGTTGTGAATGTACCTGAAAGCAGAAGATCAGGTGAAGATGGCAAACCTATTTCAAATAGAGTCTTAAAAACATTTCTTTCTTTGACGAAACTTACAGTATGACACTTTTTAAAATGCCTCTACCACATATTTTATTGATAAATTCGTTCTATTTGATTTTGTTTAACAATTTAACTGTGACAACGGACTCAAACCGACCATTCATTCTCTGCCTTGTTTCTTATTTTATAAGTCATCGCCCAATTTCAAATGTTCTTTGCAACTGTTAGCATCGTTACTGTTATTAAATAAAGGATGTCCCTAAAGTTCGTGTTCACTTTTAAAAATTATAACTTTATTTGTATTTGCGATAGAAATAATCTGTAAAAAATGTTATAAAATACCTAGCTTTAAGTATAGCTAAAGTAACTAATGTGATTTCAGGCATTACTGTAAATCAGTTGGCAAATGTTTTCCGTGAACTGCAAATTCGTATTGCTAATGATGGAGGTCATGTGGAAACTTAAATAAAATTTCAATAAAACCTTAAAAAATACAGATTTACTTCTTTCGAATACTGTATAAGAAGAAATTCTGATGGAATCGGCGCAATTCCAAAAGAAAATAATTTAAGATTTTATTAGACCGACTTCCATTTCTCGTCTAACCATAAGAAAATTCAAATCTATCTCTTATGAGGAATTTTATATATGAGCTCACATTAATAGGCATTTACATCCAGTAGCAAATTTCCAAGCGTAGCTTAGATGTGGCACAAGGCCGAAAGTATGGGTAACTCAGTGAGGATCGAACTTACAATTTATACGTAACTGTTTTAGCGAGATACGTTTGCTAAGCATTACACAACGCCGATGTGCCCACTTACTTCTCGTAGAAATTGTTCCAAATAACACACACACACACACACACACACACACACACACACACACACATATATAGATAGATAGATAGATAGATAGATAAATATGTGCAAATATATAGAAAAATAGGAAAGAACACGTTAGCTGAATAATCCGAAGTTCTTTAGTATTTTTGTTTTTATTTTTTTTAAAAAGAGTGCTCAATACATAAGTTGAGCCTAAATTATAATTATTATTTTTATTTTTTATAAATTTGATTCCATCGTCATGAATCATATTTATAAAAAAATAGTTATAATTAATACACACACACACATATATATATATATATATAAAATATATAAATATATATACATACATACACATACACACACACACACAAATATATATATATATATATATATATATATATATATATATATATATATATATATATGTAAAAGTTTCCAAGAGGATAGAATCAAGGTAGAACTCAATGTCCAGGACAGGGTAAGAATATAATGAAAGAGGTTTAAACACTTATATTCCATGGTTATAATTTATTACATTGGAATCGTAATTACGATCCAATTCACCAGACCTACAAATTCAATTTTTTTAATTTTAATTCTTTTATCGTAGTCAAATGCATACTAATTATAAACAAGATGAAAATATACAAAAAAAAGTAAATACCAATATATCCACAACAGACCCTAGCAAAAAAAAATAGGTTAATCATATACTACACTAAATCTAGTATATCCAACTTAACTATTCTCAATAATTCTCCCCCTCCCCGTTAGCGATTTGCAGAAAACCAAAATAGTTTACAAGTACAAGTGCCCTTTGGGAGATTGTATCTCTAACGGATTAAATAATATTTATGTCGGTCACACCACAAACTTGCTCTCACGGCGCTTGACTCTACATTTAAATGATAACATTTTTAGGCATTTAAAACGACATGCCTGCCCGTGTAATCAATTCAGGAAAATCCTTGTTGACAACACAATTATACTTAAACATGAAGCTATATACATAAAACAGTATAAACCTAACCTGAACAAATAAACTATGAAATCTCCACAAATATCCTTAAATGACTATAATCTATAACAGAAGCCATTGGTTTATAAAAACGACTTCCCATACTTAATACTTCTCGTTTTTCACTCTCGCGTGGTCATCTGTGACGTCACGAGCTGCGATGCGATTTTCACTTCCGCGTCTCGTATATACGAGTTTGTCGTTACTTGGAAATTTTCATGCAGCAAAGGCGGACTATCATTGTTGTTTCGTCCGTTGTTGTTTGATTTATTGAAATTGTCATCTTTGATAATGGCTTATGTAAGCTGAAAACTTAGATTGCATTTAAACATGTATCAATATGGTGCTTTCCTTTCGTCTTTTAGCGATAATGTGAGACAATATGAAAGGAACTTACTTAAAATAAATAGACAAAACTTGTCTATATTATTTAATGAAACATGAATTAATATATATATATATATATATATCAACATGATGCACAGAAGTGTTATTTCTGGAGGCTTACCCGCTCACTATAATCTTAGCGTGTTCAAGTCTAGTGTTAACTATTATCTTCCCCACATATGCGCATACACTGAGCCTCTTAATCTGTAATACTCTTCTTCGGCCGGCTCTTGGGACTTGTTATGGTGAAAATCATTATAAAATTCTGTGTGGATATCATTTGAAGGTCATTATTTTACGAGATTTCATTTTCTTTTTTGATAATTTAATTCTGTTAATTTCTTTTTATAGTCCTACGTATGACGATAAACTCTATTCCATTGATCTGAAGATTATAGATTTTAAAAGCTGTTGTCCCCAGGTCCACTTTGACCACGGTGGTAGCATCGGTTAGGGTCCGAGCTATGGGCAAAGAGTGTACGCCAGAACAAAACCTCATGAAAATATGAAAATACATTTTTATAGTAAAAATATCAGCAATACATTTTTATATAAAAAAGCAAAACTTACCAGAAATATGCACATACTAACAAATTATAGCCACTTCGGCCAAATCCGTTTAAAATACAGTGTGACCCGGATATAAGAGACTTCTTCTCCGGTCCCGACAACTCTCTTATATCCGGGTTACACTGTACTACCAAACAAGCAACATGAACTCTTTCATGGTATTAATCCTACAATTACTTAAAGAAATGAAATTGTATTCCAAAATATAACAAAAATAAAACTACAACATAAAGCAACGGCCCCAAGTAATCATGTCTACACAAACATATATAGGATGCGATAAGTAAATTGCCACTATTTTTAATTTCGCGCATGCGTATTGTTGTTTTCTTTATTTTTTCGACTGCACAGTTAGGTCAGTTGGTCACCGTTTGTGAGAAAAAGAGCACCATAACATAATTAAAAAATTCAGAAACGAATTTAGAAAGAGATGGATGAAGCTAATGGTGATTACGAAGGTACAGCAGCTCGCGAAAACTCAATTTGATCGTTGTGTTAAGAATTTGTTGGTAAGGGCCTCAGGCTCAACACGGAGGCCTAAATTACATGCCTTGAGGGTGTACTGCTTGGTCAAGAGAGGTGCACCGGGAAGAAACTCTATCTGGCGACGGGACTTTGCATCATGTCAAACAAGACTTAGAACTCGATCACATCAGCCTTTATATCTGTCTACCTAATTCCTCAGACAGCAACCCACTTCATGTGTGGGGCATATTTGAGCGAAAGACTAGCAATAATCCTTTTAAAATAATAGATGAAATGTAGGCAAAGATTATAGCAACATTCACCAACTTAAACAAGTGCACCGTCTAGAAGAGTTGCAGCAGATTCTGAAGTCGTCTGGAGGCCGTGATTGAATGGAATGTCAGTATTATATTAATTTTTGCGTCATTAAGACGATAATTTATCCATGGTACCCTGTATATGCACAAAAGATGAGTACCATCATGCATCTATTCAAATGTGATAGGATAATAATATGTTTATATTACTTCCGATCTCCCAAGAAAATTAAATTTCAGCATTAGATGACTCCTAATGTGTTGATATGTCGTTAACCAGACAAATCTTTTTGACTGTTAGAACGATAGAGGTTAAGCAAACCGAAATAGATTGAGGGAAGGAAAATGTTAATGTAGACTTAAGATGCTTGTTCCCGGGCCCTTAAAAAGCGCACTTCTTTGATTGTCTATGGGTAGTTCTCAGGTAATTACCTTTGTTTGAACTGGTGATTTATTACCGACAATTCTGTAGTTTTTACCTCTTGTAATACGTGAAAATATCTGAAAAAAAGGCTAAAAGTCAACGATTCTAGAGAGTTGAGGACGAAAGGAAAACGCCCCTTTCCGACAGATTTAGCCACAGCCCCGTCAAACAACTTCAGTTATATGGATTCCATTATTCATTTGAACTTCTGAAAAGTTAGATGATTGCATATTTCTTTGAATATTCGTTTTTAGTAGACTGAAGTATAACACCTATCTATCTATATCTATCTATCTATCTATCTATCTATCTATATCTATCTATCTATCTATCTATCTATCTATCTATCTATATCTATCTATCTATGCCTATCCGTTTCTATCTATCTATCTATCTATCTATGCCATCCGAAAAAGGCTCGACGATCTTTATTTCAGTTATATGGATTCCATTATTCATTTGAATCTGAAAAGTTAGATATTGCATATTTCTTTGAATATTCGTTTTAGTCTGAAGTATAACACCTATCTATCTATCGTTTCTATCTATCTATCTATCTATCTATCTATCTATCTATCTATCTATCTATCTATCTATCTATCTATCTATCTATCTATGCCACTCCGTTTCTATCTATCTATCTATCTATCTATCTATCTATCTATCTATCTAACAATTTTCATTATAACGTTTCACCCTCAGTAATCACCTACGACTTATCCGTTCTGTCGACGCACTTGAAATGAAATGATTAAAAAAATGTCTGCAACCAAAATCAGTTTGAAGATCTAAATGTATTCTCTAGTGATTGAAAATCTTAGACAAATAACGAGTACATTATCCAATAAAAAAGAGCAGATAGTGAATGCTGTATCCATCGCGTAAAGATTAAAAAAGCATAAATTGTAATCGAAAACTAAAGATGGAAGTTGCGGCTATGTTTTTCTGAAAGCCTTATATTAAGTGTAAAATCTTGACCTTTAGGCCGACGTTTGTCCGAGATAATATATTTATTTTTTCAACTATAATTCTTACTATGGGTCATTTATAAGAATTTTCTCAGTTTTGATGAGCCTGAAATTGTTTCTTCCGTATTTTACATAAAGTAAATTACACATAATTACAGAACTTGGAAATTTACTTATAAACTGAAGAAAATTCTCAATAATAAATATATATATATATATATATATATATATATATATATATATATATATATATATATATATAAATAATACAAATAAAGACAAGCTGGAAATTTTATTTAAACAGTCACTCGTTATAAAGCAATCAAAATATTAACTTTCCTGACGCCATTCTTGGAGGAAACAATCTCTGATTTCGAAATAAAAAAAATATATATTTATTCCAATTAGGTACTTTTATTTCAAAAAGCAATCTCTTTTATTGGCTTTTCCTCTAAGGAAAAGTGCCCTGTGGATGTTTTGTATTACAATGTTAAAGTTAGATACCTCCACGAGATCGCGAAATCTAATCTTCTAAATACACTAATAAATAATAACAGGTAAGTTTGAATATTTTTCAGCTGTTAAATCTTTAACACATACTAACAAGTAGTAATACGACATAACCCATTCCTTATACCAATCACTCATTCCTTTGGCCCATTACCTAATTCCTTGACCCATGAACCATTCCTTTGTCACATGAACCAATCGTTAAGGCCACGGCATTCTGTTGGCCCATAACCAGAGCCATAAAGTTTCGCCCCTTCCTTTGGCCAATGACAAATTTCTTTGTTCACGACAAATCATTGGGTCCATACTTTAGCCCATAACTCTTTCATCGGCCCATGATCCATTCCCTTAGGCCATGACCCATTCATTTGGTCCCTGATCCATTCCCCTGTCTCAAGTCACATTCCCTTAGCCCATGACCCAATCCTTTTGCCTAGGACCCATTCCTTTGGCACATGACACGTTTCCTCAGATCATAACCCATTACTTTGGCCCATGATCCATTCCTGAGTCCCATACCACATTCCCTTAGCCCATGACCCATTCCTTTGGCATATGGTGCATTCCTTTTCCCATGTCACGTTCCTTAGTCCATGTCCCAATCCTTTGGCCCATGACCCATTCCTTTGGCATATGGTGAATTCCTCTGTCCCCTGTCATATTCGCTTAGCCCATGACCCAATCATTTCGCACATAACTCATTACTTTGGTCCCGTTCCCTTGGCTCATGATACCATCCTTTGCCCCATGTGCCATTCCCTTAGCCCATGACCTAATCCTTTGGATCATGGCACATTCCTTTTGTACATGACACAATTCTTTGGCCTATGACACATTTGCTTTTCTCATGACTCAATCCGTTGGCCTCTGACTAATTACCTTGGCCCATGAACATTGCCTTGACTCATAAAACATTCATTTGGCCCATGGACATTCCACTGACTCATAACACATTCCTCTGATCCATTAGTCATTCATTTAGTCAATGATGCATTCCTTTGACTCATGAGTATTATCTTGGACCATCACTCATTCCTTTGGGCAATGACCCATTAATTTGTCCACGATTAATCCTTAGGGATTAAAACGTTTTAATAGGTTGAAACATTTTCGACATTTCGTGTAAGGAATGTTATCCTGTTTCATAATATTTGTTTGATTTTCAAAGTAAACATTTAAAACTTGACAACATGATTTTCCTCAATTTCTATTTGATTTCCTTCCGTGTATTTCAAACCTACGATTGAAATACGAAGGTGATTGCCATTGTCAAGGTAGAAATGTCTTAATTTAATCTTTTATAACCCTTTATTCTTCAGAATGGAGGGAACTATGACCTTTTACAGATTCATGTTCTTTAGCGTATGTGAATTTTCAGGTATTCTTTTGGGAAGATTGTAGACTGGATTCCCGTTGATTTCTCCAAAGTTTTAAATACTATTTATTTTAGCGTCAGGATGTAGGCGATCATGATTTTCACAGATTCCTTTTATTTATTGTCTCCGAATTACCATTCTTGGTAAAGACTGTAGGGTGGCTTCTCATTGCCTTCTCCATATTTTTTAAATACCATGTACCTTTGAGATGGAAGGTATCATGAATTTTCACAGATTCTTTTTCTTTATAATCTGTGAATTCTTGGCTAAAAATAATGCATTGTTTTCTCTATTGTTCGGAATTCCGTGTTCCTCTTCGTAGTTTAGTTGCCAGCTAAAGCTAGAGAACCCAGTCTACTCTTCTTTCTAAACTGTAAATAAGAGAGAAGAGACATGTTTATGCCTTTTCCGAGGGTATTCGTGCAGAAGTGAATTCAAATGTCGAAAGAACCGGGATTTTGAACGCCGAAAAAACAATCGCTTTTTTTTTTTAGATAAAGATCATAAATTAAAAGTTTGGAAATGCATAAAACCCAATTATTTTAAAGCAAGAACAAACTATGTTGTCCAGGATATAAGACCCTTGCTGCATTATATAAATAATAAAACCGGTTTCGATTTCCCTTTTTAAAGTGATATACAAGCGGACAGACAAAGAGCTTTATATATATGTCATTAATTTCCAGATTGTTTTTTGCTAACACACACACACACAAACTTTGAGCTTTATACATAAGTTTGAATATATCTGTTAAAACTATCTTAAATCTACAAGGAACTGAAATTCAAGACAAATCTATCGCTACATTATATTCATGTATTAAATTAATTCGGGGAGATATTTATTTAATGTAAATATGTTCACCTCATGAAAAATGAATAAAATTCCGCGAGTTTAATAACAAATGGAGAATGAAAACTATATGAAAATTTCTAGCGAAAATATTCAGATATGGATGAAAATTATGCTATCGATCGTAAAATTAAAAAAAATATATAAAAAAAATGATTATTTTGATGTGTCTTAGTGTTACTGGAAAATTTGCACGACTTAGTTTTATTTAATAAATTATTTCGAAGATTTATATTTTTAGATGATATATTTACGCCATACATTTTTTCAAAAATATAACCGAGTTTTTAAAATTTAACTTTGTTTCAAATTACCAAGGTAGGCTGAAACTTTCAGAGTCTGACGATGAAGGAATGATAAAAGAGCTGTGAAATATTGCATGCATTAATTTCAACTTTTTTAAAATTAAATACTGTATTGTTTCCTTCCAGGCAAACAGACTGTGCAAAGAACACTTCAACATACATACATTGTCTTGAAAATGAACAATATTGAAATCGTGGCCTTATCAAGTTTGTGCAGAGGAAGGGTTTAGTCCCCAAAGACATTCATACTGACATGCTTTTTACATTGTGGGAAGACGCTCAAGCTTTATCAAGAGAGAAAAATATGTGTTTGTGTGTGTGTCGTGGGGGATAGTCTTGAAGTTAATGTCTTTCAACTGCCATCGCCGATGAAGACATTGATCGTACCCACCATATCGTGATGGATGACAAGTAACTGACTATAAATCAAATAGCCAGTGCTATTAGAATATCGCCTGAGATAATATTCTGCACAATGAACTTGACATGACAAAAGTTTCTGCTCGATGGGGTGCCACGTCACCTGACACGTGATCAAAAGCGAATCCGTCTGATCACATCACCGTAAAATCTGATATTGTTTAAGGCAGATCCAGCTGGTTTGTTGAACGTTTCCTAACCCAAGATGAGTAGTAAGTTCATCACTTTGAGCCAGAGAGAGAGAGAGAGAGAGAGAGAGAGAGAGAGAGAGAGAGAAAGATAGAGAGAAAGAGAGAGAGCTAGAGAGAGAAAAACACGATCCCAGCAGCAGAAACAACGCAGTCACCCTACTCCAAAGATGACCACGTCGTTTCTTTTATAATAAAAGTGATGTTCTCAGTAATTTTTGGATTCAAAAAGCATTGTTTTTTTTTTACTCTTAAAAAGGCCTGCACTGTCAACAGAGATTACTATGACAACTTTCTGAGGCAGCTTCGAAAGGCTATCAAGACCTAATGCTCAGGAAAAAAATGGAGGAAAGGAGTCTTATTTAATTAGGACAATTCTCCAGAGGACAAATCCTCGGTCTTAATGACTTATGTGGGTGACCGTTGCTTTGAACTGGTTAATCACCTGCCATATTCGCCTGATTTGACCCAATCTGACTATCATCTGTTCCCCAACATCAAAAAACACTTGATCGGGAAGATATAAGAGATAACATTCCGATTTGGTATAGAGAAATCGACCATTTCACCTGAACGAGAATGGAAGAAGGAGGGAAAATATATATGAAAGATGTTATTTGTTTATAGTGAGAAAATGAAGTCATATATATATATATATATATATATATATATATATATATATATATATATATATACGAAAGAAAGATAAGTAAGAAAGATGGATGAAAAGATATAACGGTGACACTATTTAGTTTTAGTAAGAGAAAGAAGGCGTATATAAGAAAGAAAGAAAGAAGACAGAAAGAAAGAAAGAAGGAGTAAAGAAAGAAATAAGAAAAAGATATAACAGTGACGCTGTTTGCTTTCACTGAGAAAAAGAAAGGATTTATAAGAAAGAAAGAAAGAAAGAAAGAAAGAAAGAACGAGAAATAAAGAAAGATGGAAGGAAAATATATCGGAGACACTGGTTTTAGCGAGAAAAATAAAACATATGCAAGAAAGAAAGAAAAAAGAAAGAAAGAATGAATGAATAAAGGAAAAAATAACGAAAGAAAGAATAGATATATCAGTGACAATGTTTACTTTCACTGAGGAAAGGAAAGGATGTATAAGAAAAAAAAAAAGAAAGAAAGAAAGAAAGAAAAAGACATAAGCAAGAGATATATCAGAGATGGTTTTAGTGAGATAAAGAATGTATATGTAAGAAAGAAAGAAAGGAAGAAAGAAAAGAAGATGTCGAAGGCGATAACATTCCCATGTTTTTAACGTCTGCTTTAGTGCAATGGAAAAATTGTTATTGCAATGTTTTGTTAAGTCTGTTACTGTCAACTATTTAACCATACATCAGGGGATCTTTCAAGAGTAATTTTAATCGTAGAACTCACAAGGTGCTTAATCTATCATTATTTTAAGAATTAAGATTCATTAGACAATCCCAAGAGGAATAGCGTGAGATTTTCACATGTACTACTAGTTTTCATTACATGACAAAATTAAGGTGACAGTATACTAAGTTAATTTTTCCTTCGCTCTAAAGATACTTTGTTTATCTACTAAAAGAAGTTAGTCAAGTCTCACTAATAAATAGAGAGTAGTACTAACACTGTCTGTTACAATCTTATCACTATTTGGACATATATTAGAGAAATGTAGCAGAAGATTGATTTGTATTGACAGTGTTTGTCTATAAGAAGTTGATCAATTTTTGGTTCTATAGAAGAGGATCTTAGGGTCAAAGACGAATAAACATTTGCAGCCAAAAAGTAACTTTTGCAGTTGTCTTCTGAATACGTAATAATCAAGAATCCCGATTCCTACAGACAGAAGGTTATGAAAGGTAGCAACTATTCGATTGAGTCTTACCGATTTCTTCTGGCAGACTTTCAAGCCAAATTCTGAAGTTTTTAAAATACCATCTTCTGATGTGTCTCTCAGTGAAATTGTACAACAAGGCAAATCAGGAAAACGAAAAAGGTATAGAAAGATGAAAAGAACTAATTTCGAATGAACAGGCGGTTTAGAACAAAATTTGACGTTTTCTTCTTTTTGTATTTCACATCAATGAGTGCAGCTGAAGACATAATTTCGGCGTCATGAAAAATTCTATGTTTGCCAACATTCAGTAAAATCTCATACAATAAGATGAGTTTCATTGCTAACCTCAAATCTTTCTTGTATTGGGTCGAGAAAGCAAAATAATAAATTTTATTGATATTTTCTTAAACACAACTTCAGCTGGAAAAATGGTGAATCAATGAATTATGAAGTAAAGATTGTGATACACCAATATGATTAAAAAAAAGTTTAAATTTAAAATTATATATATATATATATATATATATATATATATATATATATATATATATATATATATAAAAGAAAGAATATAAGATATATAATCCGGTGTTCTTATTGGTATTTTTATTTTTACAAAATAGGGCTCAATGTAAATTTAGAGAGCATTAATATTATAAGCAAACTGATTTAAAATATGTTTTTTTCGCTACATTGTAGTAACCATGTTTCAAAAATGGAAGCTGAAAGCTTCGAATATCCCTACAGCTACCTAAATATAACCCATTTTTTGAACGTAACTAGTAACTGATATAACAAAAGTTCATAAAAATGAACACGCTACACCCCTTGTCTGAATTATTGGTTTTTCCTGTATCCTTGGGGACATTGAATTATGAATTTTTTGTGCCTTTAAAACTCAGTAAATTTTAAAAAATAAGTTACTCCAAAATTCGCTTGAGGATGAAATGGAACTAACGTTTTTAATTTGATTATAAAATTAAATTCGAAGCTTTCAGCTTCCATTCTTGAAACATGGTTAATACTGTGTAGCGAAAAAACATATTTTAAATCAGTAAAGTTATAAGATATATATATATATATATATATATATATATAAATTTATATATATATATATATATATATATATATATATATATATATATATATATATACACACTAACAGGTAGGTTCCAGAAGGTAGTTGTTAAAGACCAGTACCCAAAGCCAAAAACGATGAACGGAGGCCCTTACACGCAAGCCAGCACTCTGCCACTGGGTGGCATGCAACTAGCGTTTACCGCTGGTGGCCCGCTGTCGGACTGCCGGCGTGTTCCTCTCGGCAATGTTACCACTTGCAGATCGCTAGTGGGCCATGGTTGGCCCGCTGGTGGGCTGACGGTTACTGCCACCACGAGCGTCTTGCGTGTTTGGTCGTCACCCAAGGTTCACTTCTTGGTCCAATCATCTTCCTTCTAAAGGATATTACCAAAGAGTATAGTATATATCTTTTGCGAATATCTATATATGATGACCAGAGCTTGGCAGCTCTCCTCTGATCTAAATCTAATAGCTCAGTAGGGAAAAAAACTGGCTAGTCACATTCAATGCCTCGCAAAATAAACTAGTGATATTCAGTCATCATTGGTCGGATACAGAACATTCACAAACGATAATGAAGCGATGTGGCCTTCGGGAAGCCCCGTGCTTCGAGCGCTTATTGGGACTTAAGCTCAAGCCAAACCTCAAGTGAAATTATCATTTTCCTATACCGATCCATCCACTTGCCGCTATCCTCTGCCTTTAGAAAAGCCAGATCAGACCCAACACAGAGCACTGCTACCATCTATTGGCAGGTGTGTCCCAATCTTCTACACACGATAGACTGCAAAAGCATTTCCGTGTCTTTGTGGGAGACGATTTTTCCAACCTATTTCTCAAAGATGAAACGTTTCAAGATATTCGATCGCTATATCCATGGAAAATGTTTACATTATTTACACTCTTTAGTTCCATCGATCCTGACTTTCACGGCTAGGACGCGCCATGCCACGCCCACATGTAGCAAACCACACTCATTCCTTTTGTATTACTTTTGTATCTTTCACACGAACAGGTTCTTCTCCCGAACACCTGCTTCTCCGATCAGTACAATCTTCTGAAATCTAGGGTTAACCCTTATCTTCCTTACATATCCGTATAATCTGTTTCTCTGAAAGCTCTAGTAAGGCTTTGTATAGAATAACATCATTTATCATATATATATATATATATATATATATATATATATATATATATATATATATATATATATATATATCCAAACAATTTATTTAATAGAACATTTTATGTTTAACGTTGTTTCTATGATAAAGTATTTCTAAATGCTTGAATAAAACTTTTAAATAACATTTGTATAGAATGAACGGACATCAGGCTTTGTAAGTAACGTTGCATATATATATATATATATATATATATATATATATATATATATATATATATATATGTGTGTGTGTGTGTGTGTGTGTGTATGTATGTGCGTGTGCGCCTGTTCATTAAAAAGGGTAAATAAAACATTGCTAGAGTATGATCCTCCACACGCCAGAACAGTTTCAAGCTGGGTGCATCAAATATTGGTTTCTCTTAGTGGGGGGGGGCTCAGAAAATTTCTGTATACCACATCACCCTTTACATTTGGCCACCTAACTTTCCATACTAAGCGCCCTGGATTTTTATGTGTGGGGCGTAGTTGAGACAATAAAAAAATCCTTGTTAACGAAGGATGAACTGAACGCAAGTATTATGGCCTCATTCAACCAACTTAAACAAGGAGACCGTCCAAAAAAAGTTCCTGGAGATTCCGAAGTCTTCTTTGTGACCGTGGTTTTAGCCAATGTCGATTTTATTGAATAAATTTATCCTTTCGCATTTTCAGAGACTTTTGTATAAATTTGGTAAATATATCTATTGAAATGAGATGTCAGTATTATACATCACACCGTAACACACCATCACACACTATATATATATATATATATATATATATATATATATATATATATATATATATATATTTACTTGCCTGAGGAAACCTTACGGTCGAAACCTGACTTACAAGGTTGCTTGGCATTTTGCTCTCTTCTTAAATATCTTTACTCTTCATATTCGACTTTGAATTTTGAGTTGAGCATTTTTTGCTGTGTATAACTTTTACGCACGGCTGTTTTCAGCCTTCCTATTACATATCTGTATATATATATATATATATATATATATATATATATATATATATATATATATATATATATATATAGATATATATATATATATATGTGTGTGTGTGTATGTGTAGAAATATATGTGTAAAATATATAGAAAATAGGAAAGAACTCGTTAGGTAAATAATCCAAAGTTCTTTTAGTATTTTTGTTATTATTTTAAAAAAATAGTGCTCGATACAAAAATAGAGCAGACTCTTATATAGCATTGGAACCATATTTCTAAATAATTTATATATATATATATATATATATATATATATATATATATATATATATATATATATATTATATTCGAATATGTATGAATATAAATATAAATTATTGCACAATGAAATAGTGGTAATAAAAAGTGCTCAAATATAAAATAAGAAAGCTATAATTTATATTATACATTTTTTCACAACATTTTTTAAACAAATGGCCATTTATTACTAATGTAAATATGTATATATATGTCTGTGTATGTATATATATATATATATATATATATATATATATATATATATATATATATATATATATATTTTGTGTATATATATTTTCCAGGTATATAGGTAGTATATATATATGGAAGAAAGATTTTGGAGAGTTGATGTTTTCTCTGGCGATGAGAACACATCTACATTTATATAGTGATCTTTCACAGATGCATCCCCATGATAAAACATATACCTTTATATACACAAAATCTCATATATATATATACATATATATAAACATATATATATATATATATATATATATATATATATATATATATATATATATATATATATATATATATATATATATATATATATATATATATATATATATGTGTGTGTGTGTGTGTGTGTAAATAGATAGGTTGGCTGCTAATAAAACAAGGAAAACGTAATGGTACCAATATAAACAATACGAAAAACATTTATTAAATATTAATTATTAACGATATGACAGAATAGAAGCATGGAAATAAATGTTTTAAGTCCAGAATTTTCCGGCACACCTGTGTTCTTCATCAACGGTGCGAAAAAAACAACATAGAAATGGCGATTACTCACCGGCAGATGTTTTTTGTGGACAGCGTAAATCCTGGTGAAGATCATATTATTAGCAAAAACCCGATCTCTGTCTGATCCCTCGCAGTTAGAAAATTCTTATGAAAATGAACACAAATTTTAAAATTTCGATCGGTTTAAAGTGAGTTGTAAAATAGAAGAAGTGATTGCAGGGTGGATGAGTGTTCTCGTTTGTGGTCAGTGTAGCTGTAAATTTTCGACCAACTTAGCTATTTCAGAACGACGGGCTCTGGTTAGGATATCGTGTCATTTTCTGAAACACGGGCGGTGAGATGAGACAAAACTATGTAGATACACAGGAATAAAATAATAATTCTAGAATGAAAAGAAAAAAGTGGAAGGATCAAATAGAAAGATAAAACATTTGGATGGAAATTTTGGAAATCTATTGTTAAAAAACTGGGGTGCAGAAAAAATAATAATAATAAAATAATAAAAAAAAGAATAAAGAGGGAAAAAGCACATACTTTTTTTTTAGAAGCGCTGTGTACAGAAGTGCACATAGCAGTGTGTAAATATACCCAAGCTACCACAAAAGCTTCTGTCTCTCCACACAGGTGTATATATATATATATATATATATATATATATATATATATATATATATATATATATATATATGTGAACGTGTCTGCAATTTGTGTGTGTACATAATTGGCCGTGTGAAGTGAATAAAAAGAATTGCATATAGACGTAGCATAGAATATAACAACGAAACGACATCTATTATGCATGTCATCATACAAATTGACATTCGTGAAAATGTCTTAAAGCAATCAAAGTTTATTATTCAACATTACACGAAGACGTAAATGACAACATGTCGGCGATTCTGCCATTTTTCTTTTGTTCTTTTTTCGAGCCGATTGCCTAAGGGAGATAACCCGCATTATTTGCATATTTTCCAACCAAGCAAGGAAAATAATTATAGTGTTTTGCAACTTGTCAGTTCGTAATTTTGAGACGCTAATTTCTAGCGTCCATTAAATCAATTATTATTCTTATTGTTATTTTTTGAAAATTTGTATAGTCCATTTTTTTTTATTATTATTTGCGTTTGTTTAATTTTGCTCCATGGCTTTCGGCAAGTTGTGTTTTCAAATCGGTAGTCATTAATAATTTTAATCGTGAACGCTTGTCCATGTTTGATTTTCCGTGATCATTTTTGGCCTTCTTCTCTAGCAAAATCTAATGGCAGATGAAAGATAGTTTCAAAAAAGGCAAAAGGTTTGGACGCCGAAGAAAGAAAATAAAACAATTCAGTATTATGGAACAACAAATCGTATGAGATGATGATGAAAAAGAAAAGAGAAAAAAGAAAGAAAGACAGAAAAGGAAAAGAAATAAAGAAAGAAAGAAAAAAAAAAGAAAGAAAGAAAGAAAGAAAGAAAATATTTTAAAAAAAGAAGCCAACTAAAAGAAAAAGGGAAACGAATGAAAGAAAAATAGAAAGGAAGAAAACCAAAATAAATAATTTAAAGAGAAAAAAGAATAAACAGATATAAAGGACGAAGGAAAGAAAAAAGAAAAAAAATGAAAGAGATTGAAACAGAAAGAAAGACTAAAGAATATAGAAAAAGAGGAATAGAGAAAAAACAATGAAAAAAAGATGAAAAGAAAGGAGAAAATAAAGGCATTAAACAACAGGTAGAAACGAAGAAAGAAAGAAAGAAAGAAAGGTAGAAAGAAAGAAACAAAGAAAGATACAAACATAAAAGCAGATTGAAAGAAAATCAAAAGAATGAATTCGAAGAGGAAAAATTAAAAGACAGGCATAAAGAAAGAGGGAAGAGATAAAGATACATTAAAACAGGAAGAAAGAAATCCAAAAGAAAGAAATCCAAAGAGGAAAGGACAGACAGACAGATGGACAAAAAGAAAGGAATATATAAAACGAGAAAGAAAGAAAAGCTAAAATAACGAAAACAAAGAGGAAAAAGAACAGATAGACATAAAGAAAGAAAGAAAGAAAGAAAGAGAAAAAGAAAGAAAGAGATAAGAAAAATATTCAAACGGAACTAAAGAAAACGGAATAGAAAAAGTAGGAAAAGAAAAAAGAAAGATACATTAAAATAGTGAGAAAAAAAACAAAAAACAGACAGTCAGAAAAAAAAGAAAGAAAGCAAGAAAGGAAGACATAGAGAAAGAAATATATAAAATCAGGAAGAAAGAAAATAATAACAATGAATTTCGAGAGTAAGACGAACGGGCATACAGGCATATATCTAAGCTGTCGACTCGTATTCAAGGATACCCTTCTATTATGGTGGCTAGCCAATTCCTATTGCAGACGCTTACTCAGGCGCATTTCTACTGCAACTATGCTGAGCCGACCGTAGTGACAGTTTCTGGGAAAGAGTGTGTTAACTATAGTGATCAGCAATTTGAGCAAGCACGCTCAAGCCCTCGGACACGATGACTTGAGATTTCGTGTTTGCACAGATATCGTCTACCTAATTTCACTCACAAGCCTTGGGTCAAACCGTGATATGATTTTCAGGCACTTTTCATAGGTGCCACACGCTGGGATCGACCTCGATCCAGTCCGAAACCTTCCTGACAAATTGACCATGTTGAGATTCGAACACGGGGCTCATAGTCAGAAAGTGAACGATTCTAACCACTTGGTCATGTGCCCAGTACATACATACTTACATACATACATACATACATGAAAGATCTATCTCTATTTACATTATTCGAACTATTGTCCTCATCTTCATTGCCATATTTATTACAACGTTTCGGCTCTTCAGTATCTGTCAATATTTCTGAGATGAGATATTATGCACACTATTTACATTATTTGGACTATTGTCCTCATCTTCGTTGCCATATTTATTACAACGTTTCGGCCTTTCAGTAACAGTCTATATTTCTGAGGTGAGGTATTATGTACACTATTTACATTATTCGGACTATTGTCATCATATTTGCCGTCATATTTATCACAAAGATTCGGCCTTTCTGTATCTATCTATATTTCTGAAATGAGGTATTATGTACACAATTTACATTATTCGGACTATTGTCCGCATCTTTTGTCGCCATATTTATTACAACGTTTATTACAAGGTTTAGGAGAGATAAAAAAAAACAGCTACATAGGATAGGACATTGTGGAGAGATATAATCACCAACTCCTGAAGGAGCATGGTACATAGAAGAAGGAGATCGAGAAGGGGAAGACGAAGAAGAATACCAGTGTCAGTATTCAATTCGTTAACATTAAACATTTACCTGTCTATAGTTCTAAAATGAGGTATTGTAATTATTTACATCAATTACACGACGTTTCGGCCGATGTACGACCTGGGCTTCTTCAGGCGATTGGACACATGGACCACTGGATAAAAACGTTCGTGAATTGACGCAAAGACTTGTGAGATCTGGCGACAGGGGAGGTGATCAAAAACTTGGAAAGTTGAGTTAAAGGGAGATAATTGATACTGAGTCATCCGAAAGAGGCATGGTACGTGGAACTAAACCAATCTACCCCGGTGGGCAAAAAAAGGGTTCAGTTCGAAATTCCAATCATCTGATTAACGTACTATGGTCGAAATGTGAATATGATAACGAAGACGAGGACAACAGTCCGAACAATGGAAATAGTGTAACTAATTATACATACATACATACATATGTCCAATTACTGTAATGGAGAGAAGTACGGAACGAAAATTTGGAGAAAAAGAGTTCTAATTCCAGTCAAATTCATTAAGTTCTTTTATGCGCAAATACTCTTTCCTCACAGATATGAAATAAGAAATAAATTAGAGAAGAAACAAAAAGGACCAAAGAAATCCTGCTTTATTTTTTTCGACGCAAGAGATTAATAAATGTGAGAAATTATGAGAAAAAAATTCTTCAAGCAGGAGAACAATGCAGGAAGAGGAATTAAAAAGACAAAAGATAACGAATGACATTACGCTTAAACCTTTGGAGATTAAATTTGAATGGAAAGCAAGAATCCGGAAAAGAATTCAACATATGAGAAGTGCGATAGAAGAAACTGTTAGCATAGAACTTACGGTTTCATCTATCTAAGACGATGAGACCTAAAGTAGTCTTAAAAAGTTATTACCACAATGTGTTTTCACATATGCTGAAGAAGAGCAAAAAGGAAGATTATTCATTAAAAACATAGAAAATACTGATTGAAGGAAGAAAAGAAAAAAAAACCCCGAGAAGCAGAAAAAAAGAGAAAGGAGAATGTCGAGACAATAAATTAGAGGATAAAGAAGACAATAAAGTAGAGAAAAAGGACATGGGGAACGACTGGGGAAGAAAGAAGAGGAGAAATGAAGTAGAGCGAAAAGAATAAAAAATGGAGAAGAAGAATAAATGTCAAAAAAATGAAGACAAGGAAAAGAAGAAAATAAAAATAAAAAATTAATCGTCGGAATGAAAGCGAGTGCGCTACAAGGTTAACATATTTACGAATCGGAAACCTTTGCATAATTATCAATCTCTGAAATGGTACATCCATAGAGATCGAACTCTGAATTTGCAACAGCTGTGAGAAAACCTTTGTGTTACTGTTGTGTTACTAGAGCAGACCAAACCATAACAAAATAATGATGAAGCTTATTTAAACCCTATCATGTGCTTCTTGCACAAAGATTTAAAAAAGCGTTCGACATTTGTGGTAAGACCACTGGTAGCTGATAAGAAAAGATAAACTAAAAATGCCAGAGTATCAGTAGGAATATGTTTATCAGTTTGAAGAAACACCTGTTTCACAGTACTGCCTCTTTTCCACAGCTCTGGTTCGGCAGTTTTTTATACGGAATGGCAGGTCAGGTGAGTGTTTTGATATTAACACGTCGCCTATCTCAACAGTTTCCGCTGCCCAGTTGCGTTAGTTCGTGCCACAGGAGGAGAACTTCGTTTCTAGGGAATCCTTGTTTATCTTCATAAGTGTAACTTTTTACCAGACAGATGCGAGTTTATCGATAATTGGCATCGATAAACACTGGACAATCTCCTTAAAGACGACAAAGAGACTTGGAGCAACAGAAGTGGGATTCTGCAGATGGATGCTGTGGATCGTATGGACTGAAAATGTGAGCAACGACAAGGTTTTAGAGAAAATGAAAACGTAATAAAAGGGATTCTATAATAAATTTTGATGTTTAAAAAAAAAGAAGAAAAACCTAAGTAGAGTATTAACAGACAGAAAAAAAAAACATCATTAGAAACAAACAGTATTGAAATGTTGCATAATATCTGTCCTATATGGCAATGATTGCTGGATAATCTCGTCAAAGAGACTTGAAGCAACAGACATGTGTTTCTACAGTAGGATGCTAAAGATACCATGGACCGAACATGTGAACAACGACGAAATTTTTGAGAAAATAGAAACAATAAAGAAATTTATAATTAACATCAAGAAGATGCACTTGAAATTTCTGGGTTACGTCATGAGGAAGGAGGGCTTGGAAAATCTGATACTCACAAGACAGATTGAGGGAAAGAGAAACATAGGAAAGTAACACGTAATGTATTCGATCGACTAGAGTAAATGGATGGCAGAACTGTGTCGGGGGAATTAAACAGACAAAACTTATTAAGGGACAGAAAGATGTGGAGTACCATGACCGCCAACAGCCTGAAGGGACACGGCACATAAAATAAGTATAGACAAAATAAGGTTTATAATTTAATTTTTAATGCTGCAGGTATTTTGAATGAAGTCACCCTCATGCGTCTAAGAAATACGTAGAGGCATCTCTAATGGAGTTATTTATAATGAATACGTCTGAGAAATATGTGGAGGAAATCTCTAATGGAGGTATTTGTAATGAAGTTACCCTCCTGCGTCTGATCCGGGGTGGTAGCACCTGTAAGGGTCCCAGCTATGGGCAAATAGTTAACCCCGAAACGGAGGTAAAAGGTATTATAAAAGAGTAAAATTAGGTTTTAATACCAGAAATACTTTGTAAAAAATTATTGCCAGAAATAAATTTTTGAAGAAAAAAAACTGTTACCAGCAATATATTTTTGAAAAAAAAAATATTACCAGCAATACATTTTTAAAATAATATTACCAGCTATACATTTTCGAGGAAAAAATATTACCAGAAAAAGTTGTCGGAATTAAATAACCCGTTGAGGTTGATAAACCGTAAAACACAATGAACGAATCCAAACCGAGCCTAACAGTGTTGACGGTAGCCAGGGAAAGAAAAATGCAGAAATTCCTTAACAAAATAGTAAGGGAAAGACGGAATAATGGCCTAACCATCAATATTAAAAAAGGCACAATGTACGGTCGTTAGAAAGGGAAACAGACATTGATTCGAATAGCTAAAATCAAAATGAAGCATAAACTGAAATTTAACTATAGGAGAAGTGTTTTAAAAGACGATGGAGATTGTGACACTGAAATTCGAAGACAGATTGAAAAAGAGAATGATAGCTTTGAAAAACTAAGCAAGACATTAAGAAAATGCGAAAAGCAGAAATGTAGTATAAGTGGAGAATACCATTGACGGAGCATATGAACAACGAGGAACTTTTAAGCAAAAAGCACACATGTATATGTAGTATTCGAAATTGACGGTTAAAATGTTTGGGACGTTAGGGAAAGGCAGTTGTGGAGACCCGTAGTCGTTCCCATTATAAAAGAAGATAGATAAGATTCAGAACTATTTTCATGATATGTGCTTTACTAAAAATAGAAAGCTGTTTGTATTCTCGTTGGTGAGTGTGTGTGTGGGGGGGATGATGGAGTATTACAATCTTCTTCAGCGGTCATCCAATAAATAATTAAGTTTTGTCGATAAAATAACAACAGATTGATTGATTTGTTTTTTTTTTTTAAGCTTGATCGATCTTTTGCAGGGTATTTGAAACCAGAATATATATTTTTGTGATATTATTGATTTACTGATATATATCCTACTAATTAACCGATAGGTGGGGGAGAAGAGTTGGAAACATAACTTTGCCAAGGACATTTGCGTGTAAGTCAAAATAACGAACTCGACTGGAATTGGAATTTGGCTATCCGATTTCCAATTCGGAGCGATTTTTCGTTACATTGTCCGCCCATCCAAGGTTATAGCAACGGGTATACTCAAGGGGTCACCCTAAATGACAATAATAATAGATTAAACTGTGAAGCCAAAACATTAGCAATACTCTGTGAAACTTGTATTCGAAACATCTTTATCGTGTAATCAACTTTATGCATTTACCAATTCCATTCCTCAAAGTGATATAAGAATCGAAATCCCAACCTTATTAAGAGGCAATAAAACTGTTTTGAAAAAGCCCCTAAGACTTTATGTTAGATATTAAATAAACTAGATTTAATCTGTTAACGGTGGAGAATATGTAGCATTCTGTAAAAATATAATTCACATCATTAATATTGCTCACTGTTAAATTCCGTTTTAAGGTAGACACCTCAATTCTAGAATGATGTTTGGAGAAATCAATTGTTTAGAAAGCCTGACTGATACAATACATCAATGTTAAAGTAGAATGTCTTGTATCGGGCTTTAGAAAGGCTGATTAAATCATATTACTTCCGCAAAGGCGATAAATTTTATCATCCTGATAAGAAAAACTTTTTGAAAAGTAATCGGCAGATTAAAGATTTTTTTTTTCTGACCGGAAGAGTGTTAGGAATTTCCCACTTTCAATTGACTGGTGAATTAAACAAAACATAGAATAAGAAAAGAAAGTTATTAACAGACAATGTTTATACATTTGTTGATGAATACGAACGAAAAGGGAGATTATTTATAAAAACAGAGGAAAAGAAAATATCGAAGAAATGAAAACGGGAGAGGAAAATGGAGGCAATAGGAGAGAAGATGGAAATGGAAGGAAAATAGCAAAGAGGTAGGAAGAAAAAGAATATAGATAGGATAAACAAAATAAAATTTAAAAAAAAGGAGAGATGAGGTAAAACTGGGGAATAAATGGCAGTAGAAAGGTAAGCGGATAAAGTAAATAGAATCGAAGGAGATTTTATAGAAATGGATGGGGACAAAAGGTAAAAATCTGATTAAAAAATCACAAGGAGTGGAAAGAACGGAAGAAAGGGAATCCTAAATTTAATTTGGAAAAGAAAAGTGCCAAAGAAGGTAAGAAAACACTGCGATAATGCCAACAAATATGCTAAAGACAATGACTAAAAAAACAAAAGGAATTATGCCGAGCAGTTATGAACATAATGTTTATATAACAAACAGGAAGTTCAGATTATTGAATTAAGAATATTTTAAATCCTAGAATTATTTTTCAAATGAAATTGCTTTAAGCTATGATTTATCTATGTAAACGGCTTCGAACCAAATGCCATTAAGCAGTAGTATTAGTATATCAGTTTGACAGACCTTTCCATAGACGCACAGACGTTGTATAATCGAATATAATTTATGCTGTGAGCGGAAATTACGTCATGCTTCAGCCATAAAATGACAAGACACGATAAACACGTGTGTGCAAACTGCAACCTGTCATGGTTGAATATGGAAGTAGAGGATATTCTCATTTAACGACTTATCTGTTTAACGATCATTTAATGACCGATTAGAAAAAAAATCATAAAAAAACAAAAAGAAAAATTCAAACAGTGGATAATGATTTCACTGCAAGCAAGACAACAGAGACACACACACGCGGGGTAGTTTGGAGGGTGAAATAATATAAGAAAATATTTATTAAAGAGCGAGATTAATAAAAGAACAACATTTTAGTGGAGAGAAGATAACGATCGACATTTTTAAGATCGAACTTGACTGGAAAATAAGAAACCGAAAGAGAGTTCCACAAGCAAGAAGTGCGGAGAAGAAACTATTAACAGAGAATTTACGGTTACATCTAGCACTTTCGACTGTAAAATGATGAGATCTTGAAATAAGTCTAGAAATTCGTGTCATTTTATGGATTCTAGAGGAGAGTTGATCAGAAAATTTATCAGAAAAGAGACAGGGGAGATATATTATGGCGGCGGGAAAGTGACTGAAGTCGTGATGCCAGGTCAGGACCAAAAACATTGCTGATTCTTCTTCGGATTTTTCAAGGACTTCTTAATCATACATCAAGAGCACCAGACAATATGTGGCAGCAATATTCAAAGCATGGACGAATGGTTGATTTGTAAATCTATCAAATGGATTATGGCTAGAAAAGTAGGTTGTCCGAAAACGTGATTGTGATTAATTTCTTTTTGTTCACAAAGAAACAAACTAATTTTAATGAACAAGTAAATTGAACGATAAGTAAAAAACAAATAAATTGTATTGTCTTTACGGCATGCAAGTCGAATTAATGTACAGAATATGGAACTGATTTTCAAATTGATTAATTACATTTACTGTTCAGTAGACTTGTATAATATATAAAGATTTAGAAGTACATCTAAATGATAAAAAATGCACATTTTTTAGTCGGCATCAGCTCCATAGAAGACAGTAAAGCCACTAAGACACAAAGGGTTATAGGATGTAAAAGAAAACCGAAGAAATACGAACAGAACCAATAATAAAGAGCAGAAAGAGAAGAGAGTAATCAGGAAGACAGTAGATAGCGATTGATATTGTATTTAAAGTTTTGGAGATTAATGTGCCTGGAAAGAACGGAGCCGGAAGGGAGTTCCACAAGCGAGAAGAGGGAGAGAAGAAACTGTTAGCATAGAATTTACATCTCAAATGTAAATTGATTTAATAGTAATGCCAGTCCAGTACTGCGCTTAAATTCAAAAACTCTAAGTACCATAGCGAAGAGCTCATCCGAACAATTAAAATGAAAGACATAGAAAAGCAACCTTACGGCGGCGTGAAAGTGGCTGGGGCTGAGCTGCCAGATCAAAACCAGTAATATTGCAGATTCTTCTTTGTATCTTATCAAGGAGTTTCAGGAAAATGGCAGGGGCACTGGACCATATGTGGTAGCAATATTCTAAGCATGGAGGAATGGTAGACTTATAGATATGTAAGATAGATTCTGGAGAGAAAATTGTCTAACACGACACAGTGAACAGACTTTTTTAGCAGCTGACCTAGCAATGAATTTAATATAGTTTTCCGCTTAATGTTAACTGAGATCGTTAGACCGAGAAGGCACAATGAATCACTTTCCTGGAGGTTAGCATCAGCCATGCTGATAGGAAGCAGCGAGGGAGAGAAGTATAGTCTTGGAGGCCTTAAAATTTACGAGCCATTTTTTGTTTCCAGTTAACGACGGATTTGGGGATATTTTGATCTTGCCGAACTGATAAGCCTTATTATGGAGGCAAGAGTAAATTGCTATATCATCAGCATAGATACAAAGTTGAGAGCTGATGTTATCTGAAATGTCGTTGATGAAAATTAAAAACTTAGTAAGACAATGAGAGGTCCCTGGTGGGGCAAATGCGTTAGTGCAAAATGATCTAGAAAAGTGGCCATTCAAGATAACTTTTATTTCACGATTTGATAGGAAAGTCTGGATCTGTTCCAAAACGTGCCCGGAAATAGCGTAATTTTAGTTTATCGTCACACCCAGGACTTCGTAGGAAGTGAACCAAGTTTCTTAGCATTAAACATACTGGTGGAAAGCCGAAATGCTTGTTTTTTTTTTTTTTTTACGATGAATAGAAAACAGTTGTTTTTGTTTTGGAGGCTTTAACTTTTACAAGGCATTTTTTGCCTCAGTTAACAACTGATTGGAAATTATTTTTGAGAGCAGCTGCCAGTTTTACTTTGTCAATCCTCTCGGAATTTCTATTCAGGCAGGATAGTCAAGAACATAAAAACCTTGTTGGGAACTGTTGGCATCAGGAAGGTCGTTGAGGAATATAAGAAATAACGTAGATCCAGGGATAGAGATGTGAGAACACATCGCATTAATATAAACTGATCTAGAAGCGTGGCCGTTCAAGATGATCTTCATTACATGATTTGTTAAGAAAGATTCGACTAGAAGAAAACACTTGACTGGATGGAAATGATAAGCAAACGTAAAGTGCTTATATTTATGATGGCAAAGAATAATTAAAAAAAGAAACTCGTGTATTATTGTACTATACCCGATTTATTAAGAAATTATAATCAACGTAATTAAAATTAACAATAGATAAAGTAGTAACAAAAGTTCAATTATATTGATCTAATGGTTCAATGAGGCCTGAGGAGTACTTGTCCAAATATTTCGACTATATTGCAACACTAATTAAGTGAAGTACACTTATTCCATTTCATTAACTGTTATATTCAAGATATTGTCTCCCTTCAGGGCAGTGTTCCTAGTAAAGAGTAGCCAAGCAGGGAAATTAGATAAACGAATCTTTTCAGAAGTCTTCGATAGCTGTCCTATAATGTTGTTGAAAGTCCTCATATAATGTTCAGACAGAGACTCTTTAGCCATAGTTGGCAATTTATCTAGAGGTGATATCTCGATAAAAGCAGACATTCTCCACTGGCTTACCTAATAAAAAAAAAAAAAAAAAAAAAAATCATAATTATTTAAATTCTTTAAAATAAAAGTGAAAGAATTTATGTGAGTTCCAAATCTGGCGCACTTATCCCATTTTACGCGTCGATAACAGGTACACTATCCACCCACTCATCTCTCATCTGAATGATCTAGAAATTAATGAGCTAGTTCATAAAACATAATGTTATCGATCAATTAATTCGAACCAGTGCTGGAAGGTACACGTCACGAACCACTTTCTCATATCTGAACAAATGAGCCAACATTAGAATATTTTTCATGCTTGTCTGGGAACTGAGCTGAGAACTTTTCATTCTCTCCATATACAAAGTCCAATCATTTTTTCCGATCTTGAACATGGCATATATATTCTAAATATTTTTTATTTCATGAATACTTACAGTGATAGATAGATAGATAGATAGATAGATAGATAGATAGATAGATAGATATGAACATACTGAGACAGATATTTAGATAGATAGATACCTATGAACATTCTGAGATAGATCGATACTATTCAGTAGAATACACTGAGATAGATAGGTAGAAAGAAAGAAAGAAAGAAAGAAAGAAAGAAAGAAAGAAAGAAAAAAATATCTAAGCAATAAATGGAATTATTTTTAATCCTAAATTTTGTCTATTTTGTCACTCGGCCTACCCACTCGTTCCGGAGAGTAGAAATTCTTTATTAAGCTTTATCGCGTGCGCAGATCGGTAGACGTTATCCCCATTGTTTAAAATGAAAAAAAAAAAACACAAAAAAAAACACGGTGCATCTATTTCAAAACCGATTATCCAGTAAAAATAAATTTTGAAGATGAAAATCTGAATGAAGACATGGACATTCCTTAAAAGGGTAGATACAAGTTTTTGGGGTTATCCGTCATTCTCTCTGTGGTCGAGTAGTCTAAAGCCTGGCGGATGAAACGGCAGTTTCTCATATAAATGTACACATAGGTTCGTACATTATGCAGAGCACATTTAATTCATTAAGTGTTCACGCGTGTTCAGGCCGATAGACGTCGTACACACTATTTAAAATAAAAACAGGACGTCTATTTCAAACATGCTTATCCACTGAAAATAACATTTCTATTGATATAATGTATATATGCAAGCAGGTTCTTTTTGGCAACAATCAAGATAAAAAGTTGTGAGGCTAGATTTTGTTAAAACTCATTCGAAATGCAAGACAGTGTACCAAGTTTGAATAAAAGCAGAACAAGAAGAATTATAATGAAAAGTAGAGTTTAAGTGTGTTAACGAATTTTATTTTAAATAAAGAAACCTATACCACAGTAAGTTAATCCGTTTATTGTATTTGAATTCCGAGACATTATCAAACCGCCCACTTGTCCTGGGAATGACGATGAACTACATCCGGCAACAATGCCTCTGATCAGGATATTTTGGAGAGCGAGAATCCACCTCTTAATTACTGGTATTCCAATGTCCACCTTGACTCGGAGTCGTTGCAGCTGTTACGCCCACAGCTATGAGCAAACAGTGAACACCGAAATGAAAGTAAAACACTAGGAAAGTAGAAAATTACATTAAAAAAAAATTCCTGCAATATATTTTTATAGAAAGAAATAAAAAAAGTTGCCTGCAATACATTTTTATAGGAAAAGAACTAAAAAATATGCCTGCAATACATTTTCATATGAAAAGAATAAAATATTGTCTGCAATATATTTTTATGGGACAATAATAAAAACTGCCTGTAATACATTCCTATAGGAAAAAAATAAAGTATTGCATACAATATATTTTCATAGGAAAAGAATAAGAAATTCTCTGCAATATATTTTCATAGGAAAATAATTAAAAAAATCTTGCAATACATTTTCATAGGAAAATAATAAAAAATTCCTGCAATACATTTTCATAGGAAAAGAATACAAGATGCCAGCAATTACATTACTCAACATAACTGATACAATGTGAAATAGCCGTTAGACTAGCCATAAACCTGTATTTTATCATAGGTAGATCGACTGAAAATTTCATATGTTTTCAAGATATAAATATAAGTAGACACACCCGTTGGTAGACATTTCAGCTGAAAGTTTGCTTCCTGTCTCCCATCAACAAGGCTGACACTAACTTCCAGTGAAGTGACTCGTTGCGTCACCTCGGGTTTATTTTCTCGGCTGACACGACATGGAAAGATTATATTGAATCCATTCCGAGGTTTTTTTTTTGCTAAGAAAGTTGGTCCATTGGATCGTGCCAGATAATTCTTCTCTCCTGAATCTTCTATATTTCTAAGTCTACTATTTGTCAATATATTGAATATATTGAATATTACTGACACATATTGTTTGTTACTCCTTGGGATCCAAAGTAGAATCAGTAATATTATTGGTCTTGCTCTGGCATCTCGGCTTCAGTCACTTTCCCGTTACCATAATATAGCTTCCCTCTGCCTTTTCTATAAAGACTTTCATGGTAATTGGTCGGATGAACTATTCGCAATGGTGCCCGAGACTTTAAGGATTGAAGTAGAATGTCAGCAAAGTCTCACCTGTGGCTTTGCCAGATGTAACCGCAAGTTCTATGCTAACAGTTTCTTCTATTGCACTTCTCACTTGTGGAACTCTCTCCCTGGTCAATGCTTTGATTTTCAAAAAATGTTAATGAAATGTCAATCGTTTTCTACTCACCTCTTGATTATTCGTCTCTTGTTTTGGCTCATTAATGCTGTTTTTCTTATTCTAAGTACTCAGTAAACCGTGACACTACTGCCTTGGAAGGAGTGATATGATTAAAAAAAAGACAAAGGTCTACCAGAATGCAGCAACTGTTTTGTTCAGGTGTTGTATTCTGGTCCACGTGTATGAAGTTTGTATGCTTTTCTTTGCAGCTGATCTTCGTATGCTTGTAAAATAGGCGAAAGCGAGGAAAAATCAGTGTCAGTTTGTGACAGCATGAAAACTTTTAACGAAAATATTACTTTCCATCGTTTTTAGTGCTGCCCCAAAATGGCGTCGATAGATATTATCTTTTCTCCTGTAGAATTGATACCTTATTTCATTGTTAAAATCCATTACTTTTTTGGAAAATGTCCAAGATATTTATTTCTTTTTTTTTCTTTTTCACACTTTAATCAATTATTGCTCATCAGCTTTTGTATTTTTCACAAAAATACAAAAAATTTGAATTCAATTCACTTGTTGTCAGAACACTTTCGTTATTTATCTTAATCTTGGGTGGGTTTCGGAGTGGAAGGAATTTCAGTTCAATCAACTCATAATGTGTTATTTTGGGGAGGAAATATAAATGACTAACTTAAAGGTATAAAACTTTAGCATTTTAGTAAAGTAATTTTTTTTTCAATTTTTTAAATGGCTTTTTCGCTGAAGGCACTTTGCAAATGCACTTACATCTCGACATTTACAATCACATTACAAGCGACGTATATAACATAATTTACATACATACATACATACACACACACACACACACATATATATATATATATATATATATATATATATATATATATATATATATTAAGATTTCAAGGTTTTTCTAACTCATTCAATTGTCGATTGTAAGGCAAACATTCTTTTTTTAAATAAAGTGCTTAATATCAGGAAATATATCATTAAAATTAATACGTAAAATGAAACGTTCAACTTATCTTTTTTGTACTTGGTTTCTCAGGAATAATATCCATACGGCTGGATAGTAAAAATATACTTTTAGACCCTCTGACGATGTAATACAAAAAGTATGAATAAATGCAGAAGGAAAACGAGGGACTTTAAATATGAAGATTTTATTTTAGAACATGTCTTTGGAAACAGTAGTAAAGTGACGGAAAATAACGTTAATTTATCAAAATTGTCAAATTTAAGAACGCTGTAAAATATCCTTAAACCTTATTGTGCAATTAAAAGTAAACTATGGATGACGGTAAGTGATGTAATTGCGATTATATGAATGAACTTAAATAAGGGGTTGGGTTTAATCCCGTGCATCGAAACAGATTCACACAGAGCAGAGAGCAGTTATTATAAATGGGAAATATATTTAAAGACTCGCATATGAAATCCCTTACTTTTTCAACTTTTATTATTGTAAGATTCGACTGTATATAAAGTGGAGTGTTTGCTTTCTTTTTTTTAATAATAACAAAATAATGACTTACAGTTGAAAAGGATTACTTCTAATCAAGATTTAACAAGATAAGCTATCATTTTAATTGTATGGTTAAACATTTAGTTGATTTTCTCACTTTATTTAATAATAAATGAATTCCTCGCAAATATTCCGTATTAATAATAGAATTGGTCAAATATATTTAAAGACTGGCATGGGATAAGCTTGCAGGGATATATTCATATATGTTTCTACAGGATTAAACGCGGATTACATTCTTTAACTGATAAATCTTATCGTGTCTTTTACATTTCTTCCACATAGCGGATGTTGACCGATCGATGACACAAAGCAGATTGCAAATTGCGCATCGACTCCATGGATACATCCGCTTTATTCAAAACCAAATTAATAATATATTATGAAAAACTCTCGCTCAAAAACCAAAACCTTAATTTCGCGCCAACTAAAAACTATATACACCCAAACTTAAACAGACAGCGCGCAGATCAGGGTTCGATGCCGACACGTATATTCTGATAGAGAGAACCCTACCGACGACGACGACGACGACGCAGCAAGTTCAGCCCTCACCAAGTGCCTATTCGCTTCGAATTTCAACTCTCGCTTTCCCTTTTGGCATAGCAATAGATAAAAGTTACCAGTCTCTGTATATATGAAAATAAATTATACATTTATTTGCACCCACTCAACATCTTCTTTTGTTTGACACTTGGAATTACGTTTGAGAAGGAATTAACCTCTACAACAGTAACAACGATAGCGACAGCAACAAGGTTCTGCCTTCCAGGTTACCAATTTCCCCCTCAGCTACAAGCTGAACAAAGTGCTGAAGAAAAGAAAATACAAAGAAAAGAATTCTTAATTTCTACGTGATTTCTATTCTGCTATATGGCAGTAAATACTGGACAATCTCCCCACAGATGAAGAGAAAGACCAATGAGTGGTAGTTCTGCAAAAGGATACTGAGAATTCCGTGGACCAAGGGAATAAGATAAAAAGGAAGTCTTGACGAAAATACCAACAGAAAGAACACTTACACTCAAAATAAAAGAAACAGCTGAAATTCCTTGGAAATATAATGAATAATACTGGCTTGGGAAACTTAACTCTCACAGGGCGAATTATGGGCAAGGGATAAAGTTTGTGTGGATTCGTGGAGGGGCATTGAGCTTCAATAAAAAGAGAAAAGCTGGTAAATCGCAGGATGTTTTAGAGAACCATGGCTAACCATGTCCTGATGGGACACAACACATAGAAGAAGCTGGCTTCGTTATCTGTTCAGCATTTGTCTGGATAAAGGCGTTGGTTAGATCCAGTGACAGGACGCAAAGAGCTGTGAGTTCAATACCTGGTTAAGACGGTGGAGAAATTGGAGAGGTGAATTAACAAGAGATAACTGATAACTGACATCTATTAGATATAGCACGTGGAATTAGAACAGACTACCCCAGCGAGCGAAATAAAGG